CCCCCCAAAAGTGAACCGTACCGAGCCGTACCATGCAGTGGAAAAGCGCCATTAGTGTTACCAATTGGTTGCTCCAGTGTTCTAGGTGGTTGCTAGCGTCTTGCTATGTGGTTAGAGGCCCAACTCTAAAATATATCAGGCTCTTTTGTTCAGTATAAACCTATGGGATTTTCCCATAGTTTTTTATCACAGTCAGCTCCATTTTGACAGCGGCACACCTCTGCACAGTCTCGCCCATAAAACCCTGAGGGACAGCCTGAAGGAAAGAGATATCCTTCTACATCACATTAACCTACAACACACAGTTGGTGTACGCTGATGACGCCAGCAACAGGAAACCCAGAGTGAACTTACTAAAATAAACTTGAAGTATACTACTTTTTGGTAAGGGGAAGCCGCAACATTAGAATTCGACAAATTGAACTATATTAGTATGGCAGTTTTTCCCCTTTCACGACGGCCTCATACACTAATAGCAATTCATAGACAAACACGCACAGTACATAAATACACAAACACGCAAAGACAGTCTGGCCACTAAAGATAACAAGCCTACTGGAGCAAACATTGCACCAAAACACAAACTGATTTCATCACTCCTCAAGAAAGAGTTTATATCACTGCCATCATAAAAAAAAAGTTTCAAACAGAGTGGCAGCAGAGGAGGGATCAAGAAATGATTGACATAATGAATGAAAGATGGATTCTGTTTTTTTGCAGGCGTGATGCCGATGGCTTTTGATTTCAGCCTTGAGCAAGGTCATATAATGAGTTAAATGAGTGATGTGAAAAAAACGTGCATTTATTATTAAGGACCACTCGGCGGCATCATAACATCATGAGATTTCACAACTCCCTGTTGCAGTTCTGAAATACTGCCAACAGATGTCACTGTATCACTTTACGTTTATTATGTGTGTGTGTGTGTGGGAGAGTGCATGTGCATAATAGAGGCTTGTTTGTACATTTAATAACTGTGAATGTGTGTGTATTTGTGTGTGAGAGAGACTCACGCTGTGTGCAGTAGAGGCCGGTCCAGCCCAGGCTGCACCTGCACTCTCCGTCGTAGGCACTACATTGGGCTCCGTTGTGACAGTTACATGAGTTCAAGCAGTCAGGGCCCCACTGGCCTATGGGACAAACTGCGGAGCCAGAGACACCGTCAAATGAAGACTAACACACATGTGTATTGTGTTTTAATATAAAACAGGCGTCCAAACACACATTTACAGGCCCCTGACTGACATAACGTATACAAAATGATGCATTTGATGTAAAATTTGCATGTTTTGCAAATAAAATGTGGTACAGCCAAAATAAAGAGGAAATCACATTGAAATGAGGGCCATAGCTACAGTATAAATGTTTTAATTTAGTCAAGTTTAAGCTGAAAATGTCACTGTTTGGAATTAATAATTGAAATCCCCCAACCAATCCTCACCTCTTCACTTACAGCAAACAGTGTTAGATTAACAGCGTGAGAGGGGAGGGGGACGTGAGGGCGAGCGATAAATTCTCCGGGACATTGTTGCTCTCATCTCTATTTCATATTGCCGCTCTCTTGCACTGTGTAAATTATTGAGAGTGTGCTATCAAGTAATTTATTGAAGAAATTGTTGGTCTCCATGAGCCGTGCTTGTGGGGTATTTGGCAAAGAAAAATGGACATGGTCATGATTTACATGGCACTATGACATGAGACGTCCATGAAAGAAATGGGGCGAAAATGGATGGGAAAGAGTAGTAGGATAAAACACAAAGAGTGGGAGAAATAAAAGAAGGTGAAACTTAAACAGAGAAGGACAAACTGGTTCGTACTCTGTGAACAGTCGTCTCCAGTCCAACCTGGGAAACATTGGCAAGAGCCATCAATGGGGTTGCAGGTGCCATTGTTTGTGCACACGCAGATCTCAGCACAGGCTTTCCCATATTTGCCACTGGGACACACTGACGGGACAAAAACAGACATAACACAGACAGAAAGCACAACATTTAATCCTGTGAGTCATTCTTTCAATGGTAATCACAGCATATCTGTAGGATGCTAACAATGAATACTCCTCCTAACACTGATCTTAGTTCACAGTAATGCTATTGTGTTTTCCAGTTAAATATTTGCATTCAAATTAAATATCCTTCTGAAATAGCTTTTGCTTTCAGTGAAATGAAGGTGAAGTGTGTCAGCAGCGGCACTGAACAATTTGTGATTGAAATGATGAAAAATAAAAATGATTCTTTCCCAAACTCTACTACAGCCCCACCCAATTCTTTTGAAAAGACAAAATGCTCTTATTTTCACCAAGGCTGCATTTACTTGATTAAAAATACAGTACAAAACAGTAATATTGTGAAATATTGTTACAACTTGAAAGAACTGTTTTCTATTTTAATATATTTCAAAATACATTTCACATATTTGATATATTTCATTCATTTATTCCTGTGAAAAGCAAAAAGCTTAATTTTCAGCAGTCAATGCTCCAGTCTTTAGTGTCACATGATCCTTCAGAAATAATTTGCTGATTTTGGTGTTTAAGAAACATTTCTTATTATCATCAATGTTGAAAATAGTTATGGGCTGCGTAATATTTTTGTGGAAACCAAGACACATTTTTTTTTCAGGATTCTTTGATGAATAAAAAGTGTGAAAGAACAGTATTTACTGAAAAACAGACATCTTATGTAATATTCTAAATGTCTTTACTGTCACTTTTGATCAATTTAATTAATGCATCCTTGCTGAATATCAAAGTATTAATTTCTTTTCAAAATAAAAAAATCCTACTGACCACATACTTTTGAACTGTTGATGCAGTGATATTTTTGACTTAAAATAATTTAGATGTTACCACATGAAGCAATTTAAGGGTTAATGTAGTTATAGTTTCTGAATTAAACTTTACTGCAATTCACCTTTAAAACTTTTCATAGATCATAATGTGTGACAGTAAGTTCTATGATAGTTCAGCATGAGTATTAACTGATGATAAACCAGAGTGACACATGCTGGAGTGATTGTAAGTCGTGTCTGTGTGCACTTCAAAGCTGAATCACCCTTCAAACATGTGCTTCTGTCACACAGTCCAATTATCCATCTTTGCCAACGTCAAGAATAGGGTCGACTGATGTACTACGAAATTAAAAACAGAGCTTGTGTACATTTTTAATAAAATGAATATTTCACCATTCTCTGACACTTGCCTCAATTAGAAATTTAATGTTTTCCACCCCTCTCTCTTCTAGTTTCGGTGAGTTCACAGCAAGGTACATAAAATGAAATGCTTCCCCATCATCTCCCTTGTGGAAGACAGCATAAATGTCCTCAGCTTCTCATGAGAGTTGAAATACGGCCACACAACAGAGTCAGATGTTCCAATCAGATGGTTCGTCCACTGAGGTGAGCCTGAAGCTAAATCTTTGTGCCACTGCCTTTTATTAATTATATTTCCACACTCTTCTCATTTTGTGGAAACTATTTCAACTAACTCAAAGCTTCCTCTTATTAGCTAGTGGCCCCCTCATGTCACAGGCTCCGTTTCATTCCAGCTGTGACTAGCAGAAGTTCATTAGCTCGTTCTGAGATGGGTGAACGTGGGCTCAAGACATCGGAGGACGCCGACATAGACCGAACTACAAAAAAGTAGGTATGTGGGCTAGCCACGATCCCCCCAAGGCCTGCCTTTCTTCCAGTAATTATGATCTGGACAAATTAAAACAAGCCTTCTCGAACCTTCTTCTTCTTCTGCTTTAACATATTAAATATTTATTCACGAGACAGCTCTGAAAGCAATGAAAGTGAATTCTATATATTCATGCTGCCTTTCCTTAATTCATGAAAAGACTGGTTAATTATTATGAGATGGTCTATCTATATTTCATCTGGACCTCTCAGTTGGGTGCTGTGGAGTGGAAAGTGAGTGTTAGGGTTTATTAGTTTGAGTTGAAAATCTGCCTCATTGACTTGAAACAACTCAGAATCCCATAACTATGTACAGTATAAGTGTATATAACAGTCAACATGGAGTCAATATTGACAGCGCTCCTTTTGGGCAGTGAGGAGCTTCATTTGAATAACTTTTAAAAAAGTTAAAATCACAGTAGAGAAACGATCCCTTAAAAAAAGTATATCAGGGATGCAGGGTTTATTCCGGTCAAAACCTGCTGGTAGAAAGGATGATATTTTCATTGCATCTTTCTCCATTAACAGCCATTCGAAAGTTGCCATGCTTTCTGACGAAATAAATGAGTTTTTCTAGCAACATATATGCAGATATGCCATTATATTACAGTAGATGTTTTGCCATCAGCCAGAGATGGCAGATTTCAAACTGCACTTCTCAGGGAGGGGGTTATCCATAAGCAGCACAGCTGAATGGGAATGATGAATGGGAATGTTAACGGATAGCTCTCTCCAGGTACTGAAGTTCATTAGCTCGTTCTGAGACGGGTGAACGTGGGCTCAAGACATCGGAGGACACCGGCATAGACCAAACTACAAAAAAGTAGGTATGTGGGCTAGCCACGATCCCCCCGAGGCCTGCCTTTCTTCCAGTAATTATGATCTGGACAAATTAAAACAAGCCTTCTCGAACCTTCTTCTTCTTCTGCTTTAACATATTAAATATTTATTCACGAGACAGCTCTGAAAGCAATGAAAGTGAATTCTATATATTCATGCTGCCTTTCCTTAATTCATGAAAAGACTGGTTAATTATTATGAGATGGTCTATCTATATTTCATCTGGACCTCTCAGTTGGGTGCTGTGGAGTGGAAAGTGAGTGTTAGGGTTTATTAGTTTGAGTTGAAAATCTGCCTCATTGACTTGAAACAACTCAGAATCCCATAACTATGTACAGTATAAGTGTATATAACAGTCAACATGGAGTCAATATTGACAGCGCTCCTTTTGGGCAGTGAGGAGCTTCATTTGAATAACTTTTAAAAAAGTTAAAATCACAGTAGAGAAACGATCCCTTAAAAAAAGTATATCAGGGATGCAGGGTTTATTCCGGTCAAAACCTGCTGGTAGAAAGGATGATATTTTCATTGCATCTTTCTCCATTAACAGCCATTCGAAAGTTGCCATGCTTTCTGACGAAATAAATGAGTTTTTCTAGCAACATATATGCAGATATGCCATTATATTACAGTAGATGTTTTGCCATCAGCCAGAGATGGCAGATTTCAAACTGCACTTCTCAGGGAGGGGGTTATCCATAAGCAGCACAGCTGAATGGGAATGATGAATGGGAATGTTAACGGATAGCTCTCTCCAGGTATTATAGACCTCCTAGACGTAAATCTTGAAGCATGAAGTATATTAGTGGAAATTAACAAATTATTGTCTCTACGCTGTCTCTGGTTTTCCACAGGAGCTCAACAAAAATGGAAAGCGGTGATATCGACCTGACTCCTAAGTGTTTGTCTCGCTCAGAAGAATGAGCTCAGCAATATTCAGATTTCCTCTGAAGGTTATTTGTCAGAGTGTCAGTGATAATGCCAATTATTTCAGTACGGCAGAGCCGCAGAGTCAGCGTGGCGTTCTGCGGATGGGCATGCTGCCCGTTCCAGAGCGTGCACACACACAGAATGGCATAACATTCCATGCGGGTCGAATACAGCTCATTTTAGTGACAGGTAGGTTGAGAGGGGTAAACCGCGTGCGATATTATTATTATTTTAATAATAGACTACTTAAATCAAAACGTTGCAAAAGGTCAAAGTTTTAGTTCGATGCATATAGCAGAGAATTGATTGACGTTAAAAAGAGTTATTAAGTGCAGTAAGTTGCAGAAAACAACTCTGCCGTCTCCTATTGCTATCTGACACACACCTGAAGCACGCGCACAAGCCGCATCTCGCACAGCGTCTCTTCAGTTCTGCCGCACACGTGCAAAGCGCGCGCACACACAGAGAGATGCGTTTCAGACCAAGTTCAAGACGATCATTAAATGTAAACAGCTGAGAAAGAAATCGGATGTGTATCATTATACAGGATCCGTGCAGTCGGTTTTAAAGGGACAGCAGCCTATAAATACGTGCTGCTGAATGTCACTAATGTGAATCAAACAACAAAACGGCTTTAACAAAGATTAATCTAAATTTAATTCATACAGTGAACACTATGCAGTGTTATTTTACACTTAATTATTAAAGGGGTCATATGATGCGATTTAAATTTCTGTACCTGAATACTACTGTTTATTTGATCTATGCTTGTACATTATGTATTTCTTTTTTTTTCTTTTCCTTTCTTTTTTTTTACTGACTGTTCACTTGCCTTTAATCATGTTTGAACTTTCTCAGACTATAGTTTTTGCTGTGGTATATGAAGAAGTACTTAATGTGTGTGGAAAGCAAAGTTTCAATTATATAAAATTAGTGTCATACATTTTTTTTGTTTGTATGTTCACATTGATGTTAAATTACATTTTCTGATTTGTGACATTACTTATTAAGTAATGCTAAAACACTGCTGGTCACTTTCAGAAGTTGTAGTGATTCTTTCTTTTCCAAGAAAGAATGTGAAACAAATTGGTTATATAATTTTCATTTTTAAATATTTTTAAATATAATTTAAATTGATTTTACACACTTTAAGCAATATCGTATCACATATCGAATATCGCATTTTTAACAAGGTATCATGTATCGCATTTTTTTTTTTACTGACTGTTCACTTGCCTTTAATCATGTTTGAACTTTCTCAGACTATAGTTTTTGCTGTGGTATATGAAGAAGTACTTCAAGTGTGTGGAAAGCAAAGTTACAATGATATAAAATTAGTGTCATACTTTTTTTTGTTTGTATGTTCACACTGATGTTAAAATGTCATTTTCTGATTTGTGACATTACTTTTTATGTAATGCTAAAACACTGCTGGTCACTTTCAGAAGTTGTAGTGATTCTTTCTTTTCCAAGAAAGAATGTGAAACAAATTGGTTATATAATTTTCATTTTTAAATATTTTAAAATATAATTTAAATTGATTTTACACACTTTAAGCAATATCGTATCGCATATCGAATATCGCATTTTTTAACAAGGTATCGCATATCGCATTTTTCTTCAATATCTTACAGCCCTAATTACATACCAATCAAAATACATGTCAACAATAAAAGGCAGTGTCTATCCATTTATGCTTCCTAAAGAGTGCACAATCCAGCCGCATAATTTAATCTACATAACAACCAGTTAAGACAATGTCTACATTGTCTAAACAATGTCTACAATGTCTACATACAGTTAGACAATGACATTGGTGACAAAGCGGAATTTGCAACAACACTGTTCAATACACAAAAAAGTTTTCAAGGCATAATAATTATTGACAGCAACATTTCCATCAGCTGGCCCGAAACATTTTCACACTGGCCCCTGAGAGTTGTGCAAAAAGCAAAAACGTTCACCAGAACTGCAAATTGTGTGTTAGCAACAAGAATGTGTCAACAGTTTTGCAGAAACGGCGTATTTCTGGCACATTATCATGAGAAATGGATGCCTTAGTGTATTGATTCAGTCATAGTGTGTTTCCAATTGAAAAATACTGTAATTATAGTAAAGGTACTTGGACAGTGATGTGACCATACTTCTCTCGTGCCTCTCTCCAAGCAGAACTAGCCTCCAAGGATCTGTAGGGTCCGTGGGTGAGAAGGAGAGAAAAATAGAGAAAGAAAGCAGAAAAACAGAGCTACTTGCCTTGGTTGCAAAGCGAGCCGAAGAAGCCGGCCAGGCACTCACAGTGACCCGTGACGTGGTGGCACGGCCCTGTGCTGTGTACACACTGTGGGCATGACTGGCTGCAGCGGTACCCATAGAAACCAGGAGGGCAAACTGTCACAGGGGCAAAGGACGGGAAGGGGAGGAGAAAAACAAAACAGAAAGTACAACAGAGATATGGAAGGAAAAATAAAGTGGGATAGCAAGGAACGACAAATTAGAGATTAGACACTTAATAAATGGAAAATATTAATACAAATCTGTATTATCACATAGAAGGATTTAGCAAACATACAGGCAACTATGGTTACAAAAATTTTGTACAAAGCCATTCACATTCATACATAACATTTAGAAACATCAATATGTTTGTCCTGTTATTCAGTAAAATGAAATCTTATGTACTATACCATTCAAAAGTTTTTTTAAAATATATATATATATATATATACAGTATATATATATATTTTACTAAATTACTATATGCTTTTATTCAGCAAGGAGGCATTAAACTTATTAAAAGTGACAGTAGTTTATAATGTTACAAAAGATATCTATTTCAAATTCAGATTTTCATCATAGGAATAAATTCATTTTTTAAATATATTAAAATAGAAAACTGTTATTTTAAATTCTAATGCAGCCTTGATGAGCCTTCTTTCAAAAACATTAGGAAATCTTTCCAACTTCAAAGTTTTGAATGGCAATGAATATAAATATGCTTTAGCACTTCATTTAACAGTTCTGAAACCATTACAGTAATGTTACAATCTATGGCCACTTGAGGTTTGAAACATTCTTCCACAAACTAGCATTTAACCCTAAACCACGGAGCCACTGTCACCTGTACAACTAATATAGGCAGAAATAATGAGGGGGTTTTGGCATCCTCATGGTCAGGCTCATTGTTTCACAGAGCATGAGGGCCCAGTCTGTCTCTTTCTCTCAGCTCTGTCCGAGACGGGAGCTTCTGTGGGTCATTTTTCTTCACTAGAGTCTTAATTCGCTTTAATTGATGTAGCTTTGTGTAATGCAGGAGAGTAGTGTGTGCTGAGCTTTCTACCATGGGTGGTGGGCCTTTGTAATTACGATAATTGTACAACAACGAACAGTGTGGTGAAGATTAATCGCATTGCCTTTCCTTTCTCGCTGTAATCTTTGAACACACATCTGCACACACGTCTCCTTACCGGGTGAATCTCATGACACATGTCCGGATCATATTTTACCCAAAAATCTAAATCAAGAGAAATAAATAATTATATTTTGCTTAAAGAAAAATCTATTAACATTTTTTTTGCATTGACACCCAAAATTCTCCTCACTTTAAATGCTGAAAATCCCATTCTCATTACTGTAATGTGAAAACAAAAGAATAATAATAATATATCATTTCAATTGTATTTAGCTATTTAGAAGTATTTATACTATGCATAAGGTCAGTACATATTGTACTGCCTTTATGCAGTTTTTAATATTTAAAAAATATCATTGCATTCCAGTGTTTACCTAATGTATTATTCCATTTTTTTAATAGTAATGCAGTAAAACTTACTATTAAAATAAAAATGAGAATATAATGAGATGCAATGATAATAATGGAACATTACCAGGGGTGCACATAGAGTAAGTGGTGCGCAGGTGCAAAATAAAAAAAAAAGTTCAGACCGCTCATTTGAGGTTGACAGCTGTTAATGCAGAGTCACTGTTTTAGATCAACGAACTGTGATACTATATAAGATTCCCATTAAAACTGAAGGCATAAATCCAGGCTATGTGTTGCCCGTTTCAGAGCAAAGCATAAAACGGCGACATTTCATTCATTGACGCGCTTCACTCGGCAACACCAGGGTGGAAAATCGACAGTGCATATACTTGCTGGCAACCCACCAAAAAAAAAAGAAGAAGCTGATTTTAGGTTTGAAAATGTTGAAGGGGGAAAAAAAAAGAAAATGTAGGCTTGTCATTTTTAAGTGTACTATAAAAACAACTTTATTTTTTATTTAATACTCATATTTTATGTTAAAATATAATTGTATTTTCAAACTTTATTTTGTTTATTATTTATTTAAAAAACTAAATAAAGTGCAATAATACTATTATTATTGTAAAAAAATTTTTTTTATAGTTATATTTAGTCACACTATGTGCAGTGTGAGCACCAATCAAAAATAATGTGCACCCCTGAACATTACAAAAAAAAATTCAAGTAAAACATAGTACATTTTAGCTTAGTAAAACTAAAATGTTTGTCAAATATATTTACCCATTTTATTTATTGAAAATATATTCCATGAAAATGGATAGATAGACAGACAGACATAACGACAGAATGATAGAGATGATGATAGATAGATAGATAGATAGATAGATAGATCGATAGATAGATCGATACATAGAATGATAGATAGATAGATAGATAGATAGAACGATCGATCGATAGATAGATAGATAGATAGATCGATACATAGAACGATAGATAGATAGATAGATAGAACAATAGATAGATAGATAGATTGAACGATAGATAGATAGACAGAACGATAGATAGATAGATCGATAGATAGATAGAACGATAGATAGATAGA